ACAAAATCTGTCGTAGAAGAAATTAGAAAGTGTGTACGTACGTACTACAATAACTTACGCAAGACTGGGAAGATTGTAGTGCTTGTGTTTCCGTGCAACATTCATGTTAATTTGATAGTTCGACATACATACGAGTATACGTATGTTCGTTTCAGTTTGCGAATGGAACCATTTGTGTTTTGAGCGCCTCGCAAACACCGCGAAAAAGATGGTACTTTGATGATGATATCGGGGGCGATATGGATCTCTCTCATTCATATGCAACTCTTCGAGATAGATGAATACATGTGCAAAAAAAGGAACTGTCCGGATAAAGAGGTTTTTATCGATGATCTTTTTTTTTTTTTTTTTCGTGGCGATCTGATGATCATCGGACAAACCATTCAGTTTTCCCCCGTTCTTCCCTTTTAATGCTCTTGTATCAGTCTCATATCTGACACAATATGTGCATTAATACTAAAACGAGATGGGTTAATGTGCGCGTATAACTCACAAAATTACAACGTTGCACATCGACGACGACGACGACAATAGTTTAGAAGAGGGAACTTTTTATAGAAGTCAAGTTCTGATGCTCAGAGAACATTCCGAGTATTGAGGAGGTATTAACGAGCATTGATGCCGATAGAACGTGCACAGTAAAAATTTACAAATAGGTGTTGACTTCAGTCAATTACGATGTAGTCATTTTTACTTTCGTCCCTGTCCTCCCAAGTTCAAGGACTATCATCGCGCGTATACGGTGACGAATGAATCCTTTCTTGTATTTGCCAAAAAGAATTCTCGAATTTTTAATAAAGCCATTCTGAACAGATGTTGTGTTCGCCACTTACCAAAATCATCCGTTCACTATAATGAAAAATTGGTCACATGCAAGTTTGGATTGCATGCGCATGTATGTACATACGTAATCATAGCTTGGGAAAAAAAAGAAGTGAAGTTACACAAACGCACATTCCCCACATTCGCCGCAAACCACATGTAGGTCTATCTTTACCTATCTGGCTGGAAGGGATACATTTACAATTTTTTGAGCGAATCTTCGCCTTGGTTTCGGTCAGGATATTAACAATATTGCCATATTTACATGCGTACGAATCACGTATTTCATTCGACAGGCAAATCAAACTTGATGTTGTGAAAAACTCGAAATAGGTTTCATTGACAGAATTGGATCGAACAAATTGTCCCCAAGAATTCATAAGGAACAAAAAAGGGATACTCTTTTTTTTTTTTTTTTATGGAAAATCATTCATCATTTTAACTCTGGAATTTTCTGTGGAGTACCCAACTGCTGCCTCCGCCTCTGTTTGAGTGTACGGGGCTTCTTTTAACAATTTGATCCTGTTTAACACAGGGAATGTTAGTCATCTCCCCAAATTCAAATAAATCTGAATGTAAATAAATATTCGATCAGTTTATAATCAATCCCTCTTACCGTTTTTTGTGAACTTTACCACGCTGATGTTCTTTAAGTGCATCGGAATTTATGAAATATCGCCTAACCGGTTTTTAATATGACCGTTGATATGAAAATTGGAAGTCCATGCATACACGAAATGAAAACAATGGTGATTGATGGCTTCGGCCAGAATACTTACGCGCAAGGAATGCAAGGATACTTTCCGGATCCAGGCAACTCCAAATCCGATGCTTGATCTTCATCTGGCACTACGTTACCTCCACTACCTTGTTCGTCAATGCAAATTTTTTCTTCAAGCCTCCTCAATTCTTCATGAACCTGATCTAAATCTTTGACATTGTTCCGAGTCTTTCGATAATGATCTCTGATCCCTTTTCATTTCGAGTTACATTGAAAGTCGCCGAAAAAATAGTAAGTTTTGTGTCGTATTTTTTTGGAAGGGGAAAGAAAGGTCTCTTTTTAGGGGGTCGATTCTCCTTTCGGATTTTGAAAACCTACCTTTATGAGTTCTTGACCTTCGTATTTTTCCCATGTTTCTTTGTCACACGGATGATATTTTTCATGGTACAGTTAAACCGACCTCCACAAAGAACTGAAGAAAAAAAAAATTTTTTTTTTTTTTTTTTTTCTTAAAAACAAATTCTTAGGTTTGTCCAGTTTTATATATCCCTAGATTAACAAGATAAGATCATCGCCTAAATTAATACAATGTCATGGGATTGGCGTATGTACGCACGTTATCCCGATGCGTACAGAACGTGCGTAATAGAAAGAGATTAGTCAAAATATTTGTATTTTTTAGACAAGTTTCGATCTTTTGGAAAAAAATAATGGTTAGATAGTAATACGAAGAACGAATATAAATGATCTTATTGATCAATTTGTACCGTGGGAACTTTCCTCACGTGAGGTTCGATTGAATTTTGGAAATAAATAAGATTTATCAATGTAAACTTTGACGGGAGAGTCAATGCATACATCCATACGCATTTTTATGCAGATTCGATGTATCATTTATTACTTTACACAACCGTTATTGCAGAGAATGTAGACTACCCAAATACATGAATTTTTGATGGCCCTTGATGGGAAATTAATGTCCGGTGTTGATTGTGCGATTGAATTAGCTAAATAGTTTTTGTCATATCAATTTTTTTTTTTTTGGGGGGGGGGGAGTTCGGTAGTGGTGCGGAATGATCGCTCACTTGGTCGATTTTTCCATTAATGCGTCGTATTCTTTCGATGCCTCGAGTTGTTGCTGGTATTCAATCAATCGTAAATTTTCCCGTTCCCTCATCATCTCGCCAAAGATCATTATGGGCAAGGTAAAATCCCTTTTGGTCAATGATTTGGTAGGAATTCGGTGCCCAAACGCGAGAGCTGATCGGGAACTCTTGCGTAATCCTGAAGGCATGGCGGTGTTGGGTTTAATGAATGTCACAACGCGTTGATGAGTGGAAAGGGTGGGTGACGGTCGGTCAATCGACGAACTAGTTATTGACTTCCGCACTTTTTTTGCCCGTGGTAATGCTTTGACTGATTTCTTGATCGTTATCGTCTTATTTACATTATTCTCATTTGACTGTTTTTCATTCCTTTTTCGACTTCGGGTCACCCGAATAGGTGTCTCAGCCTTCATCTTCGAAGGAACATCATCTGAATTCGCGTTACTCGTGCGCCTCGATCCTCGAAGCCGTATCTTCTTACATTCTGGTTCCTCTGTCACCTTGCTCTCCCCTTCCGTGTTATTACTACTCACATCCGTCTTTCTCTTCTTTCCCCCGAGTCCCAGTGAGTCATACCGCGCCAATGTATCTTCGGCTTCTTTGAGAAGCTTCTTATGTACGGTCTCTAGTTTGCTTGCATCATTCGTCGCATCGTTGTTGCGCAAGGCTGCAACGGATATTAAGCTTTTGGAATCGGTATTTCGTAATTTCTCGACTGCCAGCTGTTGCTGATACCGTTCATATGCCAACCTTTCTCGCTCTCGGTTCTTTAGTTTCTTCTCGGCAAGTTCATGCTTACGATGACGCTTTTCGTATGCTGCATCAGATATGTCCTCCTAAAGTTCATCGTCACTGATATCGTAAATTGTTGATCTCGACGTTAAAATTACCATGTAAAAGGATGCTGACAGTCACAAACCTCTTGCGCTTTGCTACGTAGACCGCTGCCGACGTCTTCATCCCATAACTTAAACGAGGGGAC